CAAAAATGAAGAGGAACTGGCGAATTTGCTAACTGCATTAATGGCGAGAAGAGACGCAACGATGAAGCAACAACTGATAAAAGCACCAAAAACATGGACAACTGATAAAAGCGGCTTTCCATCCTCCCATTCAACTTTTGTCATTTTCAATGTTAGTTCAAAAACATCGATTAATGCATGAAAATATGATTAATAAGAAGCACATTAATAGATTACAACGCAGTTTAGCTCGTTGACTACGGTAAAATCATAATCATCCCAGATCTATTAAAACGTGATCACGCCAGCACTGGAAAGCAGCCTGATCGAAAGTATTTTACTAACATGAATGATCCACTAATAGGGCTAAAAGTGGCTTCAAGCTTTAGTAAAAATGTGCTGAGATGTAACGCGCTGAAAATTGGAAAATTGAATAATTGTCTGTTTTGTTGCTTTAATTAAAAGTCTTTTGTCTTAAAAGCGAGATGGGATTACAGAAAAAGTGGATCAGGAAAACGGATACGAGGGGATGTATATCCACGGGACTGTGACCTGTTAGCCAGCTCATTGTCTGACATTTCTTATGGTTTCGGACATGGTGCAGTGTGGCTCAAATACCAGAAGAGCTAATGTGAAATTGAAGAAAAAACCACAGTGAAATGAAAATAGGGAAGCACAATAAAAATAACACGAAAAGGAAAAATTGGGAGGATCTCCTCCTTGCACTTTTGATGCGAAAATATGTTTGAAGAAAAGGGAAGATACCGGTTTTTTTGCAACGAATGAAATGCGAATTTTTAAGAGAAATCGCTGTGTTACAATAGTTTTATTGGAAGTTTTGAATTGAATAAATAAAAATAAGTGCCTTCGTTCATTGTCCAATTGTAGATATTTTTTAGTGTTGCTAAATGTGATTTGAAAAAGTGAAAAAAAATGAGTCATGTGAGTCAAAACAAACTTTCATTCATGCGCATACGAGACCTAAACGTGCATTAAAACTGAATTTGAAATATTTCGGTTGCATACGGGCATAGAATATCCTCGTAAAATCTCTTTTCCCGGCCAGCTGCTTAACGAAACCGCTATTCGTTGCATATATTTCTGACGTGTCTGAATGCGCCATACAAACATACACCAAAGCTTATTTCATGTCTACATGTCTGTATATGAGCAAAAAATATTCTCATGAAGATAAGGAGCCCAATTCGGTCTGATTCTTGAGTTGTGATTTTTGCAAGCAATGACTGCATTTCAATTTTGGACTCATCCGTACGTACGACATATGCGCACGTAATAACTGAATTTGAAATCTTTTGCTTCCACATGGGCAAAGAATATCCAAGTGAGGTTTTAGCTTCCTGACTTGTCTGGTTCCCGAAATTGTTTTTCCACCAAAAATTTATTTGTTTTTTTAGGCATCCGTACATGAGACCCAAGCTGCACGTATAGAACATAGGCTAGGAACATCCTTGCGAAATTCCAGTTCCCCAGCTTCTGCCGTTGCTGAACTGAATGCGGACGACAAAAATTCGAACACACACACACACACAAACACGCACACATACAGTCAACCTTTCGACAATATGCGCTTTTATGCTTTATAGGCATTTTTGCTCTGCAGCACTACAGCACTGCGATAGTGACAATAAAAACGCATATTGTCGAGAGATCGTTTGTGTGTTTGTGTTCGGAAACAAGTGAACTTTATCATCCACTTTCATATCACCAACCAAGAAAATTGGGGGGCTGAAAATTTGGGGATATATTCCCACCCTGTGTGTCACCCTCCCGTTTTAAAATCTTTGTTCATACGCGCCTAGATCTCGAGTACGGACTCCGAAAAAAATATGCAAATTTCCTTGGCGGGGAACGATTTCGCGAACCAGGCAAAATAGAAAGGTGAAACTTTGCAGGAATATTTTCTGCGCATATGTGAGCTAAAGGTTTCAAATTCGGCATCCAGCTGTGCGTAGTACTCAAGTAAGGGCGTGTGAAATTTTTGGCGGGAAAATTACTAACTCAAAAACTAGAAAAGCTAGAGAGCTGAAATTTTAGAGCAACGTCGTGGTTCTCAAGTATGGACACATAAAAGTTTTGGCGATAAAATTATTCACTGAATAGCTGGGTTACTTTCAAAGAACGACATTGGATAGAAATTGTTCATTTATTTTATGCAAAATTTATGGTGATTTACGCAAGTGAGCGCAAAAGGTAGGTTTAAAGCAACAACCATTCATGCAGTTAATGACCTGAGTACTTCAAGTCTAGTGCAAAGACGCATGATCGCAGCGGCAATTCTGGTACATTTCAGTCTGGGATTCAGTGGTCGAGCAACCACCGGGAAACGACCGGGTTTCATGCAAGAAACGGTAATCATGCACTTTAGAGGTCCATGCGGCCTATAATGCAACATCATCCCAGCCGACGCCCTTTTCCACCTGCAGGAAGAGGCCAAAACACGTGCAGTATGAGTTTAATTGTTAAAATACAGCGCAAGAGCATTCCTGTTGTTACCAGTCTGCAAGCTTAGCGCAAAAACACATGATCGCATCCCAGGCCTGGTACATTGCAGCCTAGATTTGCATTTGTATAATTTAGGGGTTTTTTGCAAAATTTTCACAAAACGCATCCTCAACTTTTCTCGAACAATCGATTCTAAAATGCTACGCTAATGATGAATTACTGAAATGCCTCCGCAAGGCGGGAGCAAC